GTCAACTATGACCGACTGGTTAATCGCCTTTAATCGATGTATATATTTTCAATTATATTTCCTGTACTCTGACTTTGACCGCTTTTTAAAGAAGTGCTCGGCCTATTATTATAACTTTGCTGTGGGTTATTTAAATCTAAATCATTGGAATTGTCAATTTCACGATTCGATATTGATTTTTTTAAATCATAGCTATTCCTTCTCAAAACATTTGTCCCTGTATTGATAAGGTAGGATCGAGGAGACTCATGCTTAGACACTATAGAAGCAGGCTGCCATTCTTTATTATAGTTCCGGAATACAACGTTTTCTCCATTACCAAAATCTGTTCTTGCCCTAGCATGTCTGTCACAATAATGTTTTGAAGTGTGATTTCTAATATCTAAAGATTTTTTAAAATCACCGATAGGAGATTTAGGTCTATCCACAATAGGTAATTTAGTTTTTAGCTTTCGCGAAAACAGCAGTTTTGCTGGGGTTCGCCTGTGAGAGGTGTATTACGATACTCCATAAGAGCAACTTTTATGTCACACCCTTTTTTCAGCATGTTCTTGGCTGTCTGAACAAACCTTTATGCGAGGCCATTTGACCTTGGATAACGGGGGCTACTAGTCTTGAACATAAAATCAAAGTATTTTGCAAATTGTTTACATTCATACGAAGAATAAGGCGTATTATCTGAGATTACAACATCTGGAATACCAAATGTTGCGAAAACTTTTTTAAATGCTTGAATGACGTCACTGCTTTGTTTACTTTTTAGTGGAATTATTTCTAACCACTTTGTAAGATAGTCAACAATAACTAAATATAATTTACTTCCAAAGTCAAAAATGTCTGAAGCAACTTTTTGGAATGGTAACTCTGGAATCTCAAGCACAATTAGAGGTTCTTTTACATTTGCATATTTATATCTCTCACACTGAGCACATTCTTGTATCATATATTTTATATCTTTGGTCATACCTGGCCAAAACAACATTTCACGAGCTCTATCTGTTGTACGATTGACTCCAAAGTGACCTTCATGTAAAATTTTTAGCATGTCCTGTCTTAAGGCTTTTGGGACTGCAATTCTGTCATTGAAAAATACCATATTGTTATACACATGAATTTCGCTGCGATTTTGAAAGTAAACCTTTAACTCTGATTCATACAACTTGTCAGGCCATCCATGTGTATAATAATAAATTATTAGTTTCAAAACATCATCTACAACAGTGTGCTTCCTGAATTGTTCCTTTCTGGACTCACTCATTCTTAAATACCTTTCAATTGAATGCACTACATCCTCAAAGTCATTATCTTTCTCACAAATTTCATTGCTATAATTCCTAGATAAATAATCAGCGACGTGTAAAAATTTGCCAGGTAAGTATTCAATTTTTATATCATATTTTAATAACCTTAGTCTTAACCTTTGTAGGCGTGGTGAATGTACCTGACAAGGATAACGCACACCAAACATGGGTTTTTTGGGCTCTTTGGATTTTTCCCATTTTTTGATATGTTGTAGAGGATTTAATTCTGAACAACCTTTAAATATTTTTATCCTGTTACTACGCCAAGTATTACTGGCCTATGTTTATTTAGTTGTAAGGTACTTAATGTTTCTTGTTGTTTTTTTTTTCTTTTGAAACTTTTAATGAGTCTTGCCCGTAAATAAATAAATAAATAAATAAATAAATAAATGGGACGAAATATTGTAGGTATTACGGCCTTTGAGATATGAGCGTTGAAAGATTAACTTTTTTGCGACTTTTTGTGTGAAGAGTATACAAGATACTGGTGCTACTGGTGTTTATCAGTCAAAATATTGACAGGTTCACATATTTTACGTCACTCAAAAATTAATGTCAACATAGGTTAAAGCCGGGACCGCACTGGGGTCAAATTTGGCGCCAGTGCGGTCCCGGCCTTAGCCTATGTTGACATTTGTTAGTGACGTGAAGTATGTCGACCTGTCAAAATTTTGACTGATAAACACCAGTTTTTCGTATACTCTCCATACAAAAAGTCGCAAAAAAGTTCATTTTTCAAAGCTCATATCTCAAAGACCGTAAGACCTACAAGATTTCGTCCCATTTAAAGGTTGTTAAGAATTAAATCCTCTACAACATATCAAAAAATGGGCGAAATCCATAGAGCCCAAAAATCCCATGTTAGGTGTGCGTTATCCTTTGTTTATTCATAACACTCACATTTGGTTTGTGATCAGTGATTATTTTTATAGGACGGCCATAAATGAAATTATTGTAGCATATAAGATGCCAAGCATTTCTTTCTCAATAACTGCATAATTTTTCTCTGTGTCGTTGAGACCCCTAGAGGCATATGCTACAGGTCTTCCGCATTGCATTAAACAACAACCAATACCGTTTTGGGATGCATCTGTGTGTATTGTAATTTCTTTACTAAAATCAAAATTCATTAGAGTAGTATTTTTATTAATCTCATTTTTAATTTCTTGAAGAGCTTTGTCATGAATATCCAACCATTGGAACTCTACTTCTTTTTTTAATAAGTAACAAAGCGACCTAGAAATTTCTCCAAGCCTTGGTATAAACTTTCGCACATAATTTACTAAACCTAATAGTTTTTGCAAATCTTTTTTATATGTTGGTGGTTTTAGTTCATTAATGGCTCTCACTTTTTCATCATCAACTTTCATACCGTCTTTATTGAAAATATGACCCAAATACTTTACTTGAATTTTTCTAAATTGAACTTTATCTTTATTAAATTTGATTCCTTTTTCCCTAGCACGATCGATCACTCTTTTTAAAACCTCATCGTGTTCTTCCAAAGTATTTGTTGCTATTAATAAATCATCAAAATATATTATTGTATTTTTTATGTCACCAAAATTTTTAAAATTTATTTTCTGGAAATATTCCGGAGCTAAATTTAAGCCAAATGGCAACCTACAGAATCTATAACAACCAAATGGAGTTGAAAATGTCGTGAGTTTGCTCGATTCTTCACAAAGTTTACCTTGGTAAAACCTATCTTGGAAGTCTAGAACAGAAAAATATTGCTTTCCTGCCAGTTTACTACTAATTTCCTCCAAACTAGGTATTTCAAAAAACTCTCGTTCAGTACATTTATTCAGTTCGTGAGGATCCAGACACAAGCGTAAGGTCTTGTTAGGTTTTTCAACAATAACTAGTGGATTAACCCACTCACTAGCACCGTTCACTTTAGCAATAATTTTCTGTTTCTCTAAATTTTTAAGTTGACCCTGCAATCTGTTTTTTATGACTAGAGTTACTCGCCTACAAGGCCTAGCAACAGGAATGCTACCTTTTTTTAATGTTATTTTACACTCTTCTGAAAATGACCCTAACCCTTCAAATACATCAATATGTTTTTTAATAAATTGCTCTCTGTTTTGCATAGATTGAATTTCAGATTGTACACTACATGTATTTTTGATAAAGCCTAATTCATAGCAGCTAGGAAGTCCAATTATTGGTTTTACATTTAAATCTAGTACCAAGAATTCCAATTCCACAGATTTATTTTTGATTTTAGAATTCAATTTAATCTTACCTTCTGGTTTCAATTTAGTACCTCCATAAGCCTCTAAAATTACACTGGTCTTAACCAAATTGTCAGTAGTTAGTTGTTCAAGTACTCGCTTTGGCATGATATTGACTTCTGATCCAGAATCAACCTTAAACTTAACTTCTTTGCCACTTATGTTTACTGCTTCCATCCATACTGTGTTACAGTCCTTTCTTGCTTCTCCCACTTTTACGACACTACAAAGGAATAATTCCCCAAGGTCTTGGTCTCCTGTTTCTTCCTGCTGGGAGATTTCTCTTATCTGTTGTATTCTGGTTTTGCAAGCTTTTATGAAATGATTCATTTTGCCACACCTGTGACACTTCTTCCCAAAGGCTGGGCACGTTCCATATGCATGTACGTTAACGCATTTAGAACACTTAAATTTTCTTTCTGTGCTGTTGTGTTCCCTTTCACTATTTGATGCGGTTGATTCCTGATTCTTTCTTTTTTCAACTATATAATCTTTTTTCTTTAAAGCCTCTACAAGTGCATTGACACTTAAATCCTCCTTATTTCTAACATTTTCTATCCGTTTTTTGGTTACTTCTGCATTTCTACATAATTCGGTGGCTTCTACTAGCGATATATTTTGAATGTTTAGCAGTTTTTCCTGAAGCCTTAAATCATTTGTTCCAATAACGATTCTGTCAACAAGAATAGAATCTTCCTGGGAATCATACTCGCAGGACTGTATTAGTTTTCTGAGATCACCTAAAAAATGATCAAATGGCTCATCTGGTCCTTGATTTCGATTATTGAATACAAACCTCTCATAGGTCCTATTTTTTCTGGGTGCACAGTATTTTCTAAATTCGTCTATAACTTTGTTATATTTCTCTTTCTCTTCAGGCGAAGCAAACTTGAAAGTATTGAATATTTCAACACCTTCACTTCCAATTATATTTAAAAGCATAGCAATTTTCACTTTGTCTGGTTTGCCCTCTTTCTCAGTTGCTATCATATATGTCTCAAAGTTTTGTAGGAACCTCTTAAAATTTTCATTGAGGTTTCCTTCAAATTTCATAGAATTTGGAAGTCTTCCTTCCATTTTGTATAGTGAAAATTTTCTGAAATTATACTAAAGTGCACTAACCTTTTTGAATGACTTTTGAAGCCTTATTGTTTGTGTTTCAGTTTATTTTTCACTTCCACTGGTTCTTTCTCGACTGCGCCATGTAATAATTTAATAAAATGAACTAGGCTTGCTTGAATACAAATTATGTATTAATTAAAGTTACAATAATTCAGAGACAATCTTGACAAAACTGGCAAGTCTGACATATTCAAAAGACCTATTATTAAGACCAGCTAATTATGCAGGTACCATTAATAAGGTAGGTAACTCATTACACGTCATTGAGGTATCTACCTTATAACAGGTTTGTTCCAGCAAAAAGTTGGAAACATGTTGGTGACATTAACCTAACAAGTAAATTTGTTAGTGACAGATGTTTTCAAGTTGGCAACTTTCTGCTGGAACGAAAATGTTTGACATTTCCAATTTGCCAATCAAAATTTGAAAGATAAATAAAAAAAAAAAAAAAAAAACAGTTAATGATGCAGGGTATTTTAAGAGGTAATTGGTTATTTTTTAGTGTGTATTTCAAATAGAGTTTGGAATTAATTTTAGAGGTGCAAGAATTCGTTGTCCTACCGAGCAAATCAGTGGGCAACGGTGACTCCAATGTCCAGTTATCAGATATTTCCAAAGATATCTTACAACTCCAGAATGTGGTACAGAGCCAGCTTGAAGGTTATACATTTTGGTCAACAAATGTAACAAAGCGTCTAATTGCTCTTTACAAATCACACCACACCCAAAAAGGAAAAAAATTACGAAACAAAAGAAGTTATGGGAAATCATAGCGGAAATTTTGAATAAGGAGTTCCATCTAAAACTAACAGCTTCTCAGGTGGAAAATAAGTGGAGAACTCTCTTGAGGGCATACAAAAACGTGACTGATAATAACAACAAAACAGGCAGAGGTAGAAAAGTTTTTCAATATCAGGAGGAAATGGATATCATTTTTTGTAAAAAAAAGAATATAAATCCAGAGGTACTATTAAGCAATGAAACCATTGTTGCTATACCTGAAAGTATTACTTCTACAACCCAGAATAAAAAAGATGAACATAATTCGGAAAGCCCTTTGAGTTCAAGAATGGAATTTGTTTCTGATACACCTACACATTCTGAAATGCCCATGAAAAACAGTCATTTAAAGCAAAGAAGCATAAAAATAAAAAGAATTGTGTCCAGGAACGATGTTCTCGAAAAAATTAGATTAGACAGACAAAAGCAACGCGAACAGATAGTAAGGAAAATAGAGGAGCGAATACAATTGCAAAAGCAAAAATTGACTGAACGTAAAAGGCAAAATGATATACAGAAAGAGAGGAACACTATTCTTCGAAAGTATCTTGAAAATAGTTATAATAATATATGTGGTTGAAAATGTAGGTAGAATACTGGTAGAATATTTAGTTATTATGAACTTTCTTTGAATTTTTTTTTTTTCAAGTATTTTTTCGATATTAGTTTTTCTGCGTAGTAGGCGTTTTCAATTACCCACGTTTAACTTTGCGTTTGCGAATAAAATTTTTATTATATGTTTGATTTTTTTTATTAATACATATAAGCTATAAAGGTTATCACCCAAATACACAGTCAAACTGAAAATCAATGATAATAATTAATAATATTAATAAATGTTGGAAACGAATAAAGGCTATAGATTCAAGAAAGTAGGATATTACAAATTTAAAGTCCGAAGTAAGTAATTTCTATAAGCAGCTCCTTCTGGAATATCTCTTTCTAAATCTTCTTCATTCAATTCAGGATTATCTTGGTTATGCTCTTGTTCATTTTCATTTACTTCCACATCATCAGGGAATTCATCCTCTAGTGCCATATTGTGTAGCACACAGCAAGCCCTTATAAAATTTGCAATATCATTCATGTTTCTTAGTTTGCAATGGTACAGTTGGCGGAATTTCTGTTTCAGGAAGCCAAAACAGTGTTCAACAATATATCGGCAGCTTGATAGTCTTTGATTAAAAAGTCTTTGTCGACGTGTTAAATTACCGTGATCCCTAAATGGGGAAATTAGATGACGTGAACAACCATATGCACTATCACCCAAGATGAAATAATCGCCACACTTGTTAGGTAATTCATTGAAAAGAGGAGATCTTCTGAAAACTCTTGAATCATGCACTGACCCAGGGAAGCCAACAAAAAGGCTTCGAATTTTTTTTTGGTGATCACACACCAGTTGTAGCTGGAACAAAAACATATTATACTGTAGATATGTACATGTTCCTACATATTTTAATCGTATTTTCGGCCTTACCTGCATAGAAAAATATTTCTTGCGGTTGTAGTATGAATCTGGATCTTGCGTTGGCTTGTCAATTCGAATATGGGAGCCATCAATAGCCCCTATGACTCCAGGGAAATTTTTTTCTCGAAAAAACCTTTCAATTTCTTGTTTTTCTTGAAAATCTGGCCATTTTATTGTTTGAGGAGCTAAATTGCTTAGGAAATAGATGAGCCTCCTAATGATTCTAAACAAACTAGGTACTTATAGAGATACAAAATCGGTCTGATACGTCTCTAAAGGAAGCAGCCTCATGTCCTACAAACCATAAAAATATGAGAACTTGATGCTCGGAACTGATTTTATCATTTCCCCCTGACTGGGGATTGAATAAATTGCTTCGCTCATAATGTTCTGCAATAGTATTTGCAACATGTCGGCTTATTCGGAAATGTTCAATGAATTCCGATTCACTAAAATGTTGGACTGTCTCTTGGATATAATTTTTATTCTTTGGCCGCTCCCGGTTTTCAAACATTTCGAGCTCTAAATCATCGTCTAAATTTTCCAAATCCATGTCACTATTGTCACTATCAGATGAGCTATCATCATAATCCAATTCATCAAACAAATCCATTACCATTTACCACAGCGGTACAAATACGAACTCAAGAATAGACTGAAATATAACTCAATTTAAATTTATGCACCTGAAAATCTGACAAAATTTTACGACATGACAGAAAAACATAACACACAACAAATTTAAAACCGAAAAGTTAGGTTAGGAGTTAAAATGTTTGAAGAAAATCGAGCAGCTGCCAACAAGCTATAAATGTTCCAAACATCTGCTGAAACAGCTGACATTTGCAAATTGTCACTAACATTTCTTTGCTGGAACACAAATTTGTCATTGCGCATGTCACAAGCTGCTGCCAACATTTCTGATAGCCTGCTGGAACAAACCTCAGTCTTGTTTTCTGATTTAATATGCTCGCTAGTCTTGTACTGAAAGTATACAATGATTCGGAATTTAGATAGGAAAAACAAATATCCTCTTCCAATGCAAATTCTGCAAACATCACACACGAACGCGTTTCAGCTGATTACAACTTCAATAAGCAGAATAAAATGCAGGTAAATGCATACATTAAAAATCTATTTTACACCCATATTTCTTCACATCATTGTTAACACCTGTCGAGGTGGTAGAAATTTAATTTCTATACTGCTTGGCAACCCCAGCGGCAGCAAAAGTACTTTTGGTGCCGCTGGAGCGGCAGTAAAAGTACTTTTAGTGCCGCTCGTACTTTTACTGCCGCTCAACCATCCAGTTACCCCCGAGCTTACCACATTCGTTTGGAGAAAAAATAGCGTGTTGCATACGGAGTAGAAGCACTTTTTTGTGCTTCAGCATTATTGCAAGCCTCACTACGTTCGGCTCGCAAACCCACTGCTTCAGCACAAAAAATTAAAGCTTCTACTCCTAATACAACAATATACTATTATTGACGTGGAACCATTTACTGACTCTGACTGATATTAGTATACTTGCCAATTTCTTTGCTTACCTTTGGCTCCTATCTTTTTGATATAAAGAACTATTATTCAGACACAATTCACTGTTTGAAAATTCAGAACTCAACGATGAATCTGTGAGGAAAATGACACCATATTGATTCAATTCAATATTAGTACGCAACTCGTTATTAGTTCGACATCTTGATGAGGGATGTCAAAATTAAACTTATATAAGCCTGATGAAGCTAATGTAGTGAAACATGTTACTGTTGTAATCAAAAATAGTAACAAATTAGTTTTACTTTTTCCCAACCATGGATCTATAATAATTCAAACTTATATTATTCAAATAAGTACCTGCCGTTTAAAATACTGATATTTTACCTTCCATCATATCCACTGGACGGATCGGCAATACTGTTCCGGTTTCCGACGCTAAAGACGCACTTCTACATTGGTGCAATATGGAAATGGAACAATTGACCCCAATGTGCGCGAAGCATATGAGACTAGAAAAATACGGTAGCTTCGAGAAATCCAAAAACTAAACTCGAAGTCTTCGACCAAAACATTACTCTGGCGACAAACCCGGTACTCCCAGGCATTGAAAGATACCTCTGTTGTCTATTCCAACCTGAAGTTTGGGTCATAACTTATCTATTCTCTAGTCTGTTAGCAATACTGCATTGACGTCTTTTGAAACGTCACTGAACATTGTTGCAGAGAAGCGGTGAGAACTTATTTGATGAGTAGATTTTCCCTTCAATTTGTTCATTGTGGAAGAAACAACTGCCAGCTTCATGATCATATAGGTGGATTTTTATTTTGAGTTTACGTCTGAGCGGTTTATGATCTTTGGTATCAGAAGCTTTTTGAGCGTCTGTTTTAAGAAGGTTTAATAATATTAGGTCTGTTTCTGCAGAAATCACAAACCAATCGGAGTGAATTTCCTTGGTTGAAACTAGTTTGTTTCAACCAAGGAAATTCACTCTGACTGGTATGTGATTTCTGCCGAAACAGACCTAACATAACTGTCTCATCGAGTTTATACATGTCGTTGAATTAGTAATCTTTGGTAATTTTATAATAGGATTTTTTGTCGAGACAGAATAGGATCTTCTGCATTACGAGCTTGGCTCAGAATTGCCTGTAACAGTTTCGCCATGGCTACTGAGTGTATCCAACCGATGGAAGGCAAGATTGTTACCATCAGTTACTTTTCTTTTAAGGCAGTTTGGTTGATTATGGATAAATCTAGTGTGTTAGTGAAAATTATTTTTGAGATTCTTTAAAGACTTCTGTCCAATTGATTTTCTCTGGAGGAAAGATTGCAATTTTCTTTATCCTTTAAATAAAGTGATTTGCCACTAAAATAGGGCGCCACATAATTTAAATTATTTATTGTTTTACCTTGCCGAGTTCAGGCAAAGTATGTTTATTTATACATAAATTGGGCGCTGTTGCTAACGAGTTAATAAATTCTATTAAACTTAAATATTTACAGACCGTGCAGTCGAGTCGGGAAGATTCAAAGCAGTGCCGAATGCGTTCCTCAAACCTAAATCAAAATTAATTCTCATTTTTAAAGAGAAGGTTAGCGAGAGAATTGAGAGAAACGGTCTCTCTACATCTTAAAAATAGATCCATGATGGTGCGTCCTCTTTCGTCTTTCTATTTACTACATTTTCTAATTTTCTTTGTAATTAACCCAACTTGAAAAGGCTGTTGATTACCTATATTCACTATTGGCTAATGATGTATGATTTCCAGATTTATTCGGGATCTAGAATTATTTTTCTGCTATCGAATTGACAGAACATGGTATAGTCGTATTCACGAGAGAGTTTGAATTTTGACCGTTATTTTCACCAGTTGAAAATAAATAAAATCCCCAGATCTGTCCCTTTTTCTGACAACTATCAAATAATGATACATGACATTTTGATTTGACACATAAAAATAACAGATTCGGGTCTTTGAATTTTGAATTTCGAATTTTTGTGTGAAATCTTTCAGTTCTTGCCGTTTACTGCATTATTTTTTTATTTGTTATTATCGCAATCGGTTTTTTGGTTTTTATGTAGTGTTCTGTGCCTTTGTGTTTCGGTGTTGCGTTTCAAACCTGGTTTTAGTTTGGATTTAAGTGTTTACTCTTATTATAAGTGTTTACTTTGGACTCTAATTTTAGGATTTTTGGATGTTAATAACTTAACTTCCTTTAAAGAAATTGAAAATAAATTTTTATTTTGAAATGTATATCACTTTTCT